TGCCACGGCCCCGAAACTGGAAGGCAAACATTTCCAGCGGCTACTTCTGAATCCTAAATACGGGGCCAAAAGAAATTCCAGCCAGGACCACCTCCTCACATTGGACCAGCTCCGGAGTTCTTCCTCTTGCCATGACCAGCCCGTCATCAGTCAACTGAGGATGGTGACTAAAGAATAACCACAAGTCTAGCAGAAGTATTATAGCATGGTCGAGGGGGTTTTAGGACAGGGTTCAGCCTGATTAATGTAATCTGAAGGACTGAGGAACAAAAGTACACACATGGATGTATACCTATGTTCATTTTTCTCAATAATTCAATTCAAAATGGATCTACCCGCATTCCTGAAATCCTGACCGCATTTGAAAAATCCCGAATCTGTGCAGCCCAATGCAAGCTGGGCCACAAGTACGCAGCAATCAAGTAAGCTGTGGGTTGCCATCGTTCAAAAAATAATCCTGGTCTCACTGAACCATCTTATTTCCTCTGCAATAATCCTGCGCCCAATGAAACAAAAGTTTAAATTAAACTTTGTGTGCAGGGAAACTGATCAATTCGACAAAATGCTGTAGTGCAGACTGGTGATGAGTCTACAAACCGAAATAGCTGGAGCCTTAGTAAGAGATTTCCATACAATCATCGAGATTTCTGAAAAACACAGATATGGTATCCAGGCATCTCGGCGGTCTGACTTTTTCCCCTGAGATCTCAGACATGTCCAATATCTCGGTGAGCTTGTTACCCCCATCTCATTGAAGCATATTTTACCAAGCAGACATTTGAATCTCATACTTCAGAATTATCTTTGGTATGCCTAAGTGATTGCTAACACAGGGGGCAAGGAGCAAGACATGTAACTGTTGCATGTCTTAAAGGCAGTTGCCAGGAAGGTGCAAGGCATGTGACAGTACCGTTTGCGCAGCACTCAAAGACAATTATAAGTCAAAGAGCTCAAAGCGCCCATGGCCCGGCCCAGCTGTCACCAGGGTGTCAACGCGATCACTTGCTCATTTGAGTTCTCACGCTGATCGTGTCGCACCGCAAAAACAGGGTTTTCTTTACCATGAAGTGCTCACCTGTACTCACCTTGTTTGTAGTCAAATGATATCCTTACCTGAGAGGTACACCACACAAATGTATGCCCTTCCGATGAACTCTGAGTCGAAGCTAGGATTTAACTGATCATTCAACCCTCCATCCATTTGCCCCTGCCAATGGCCTTCACCTCAGTCCCCCACACCCAGTTCATCCCCAAGGGCCGTCAGGGCAGGCATATACATCCATCTGAGTTGAAAATACATCAAGATGACTAATATCTTGGAATTTAATTATTTAATATCGCATTTTTCGGCATTTTCCGGCCTTTAAACACTATTTTGATTATCCTTATGGAGCAACCAATTGATCCCATCACTCTGAACTCAAAACAGCCAATCTATGACCTCATAGTTCATGCACAGCCCATCAAAAAGTTTTGGTCTGGGCCCTCTCTATTTGATGCTCCAAATGTTGCACCTGTTTGCTTGACAGGCTCACATCAACATTGGCCCTGTTTGATTTCAAGCCTTCCCCACGGTCTAGGCCTCACACCCAGGATGGGAACCTTTTAATGTCGCTTAAAAGACCTATGAAAAGAATGTGTATTCATAGTCTAATATATCTTGATTGATTTAGCGAGATTCAATGAAGTAAGAAAGGATTACAGACACAACTAGAATTCATAGGTCTTTTCGACTTGATTGATTTCTATCTTATTCACCATGTAAGAAAGGTGTCTGAAAAGAACGTCAATCAGGTGCCAAATCAACCATATTTGATTTTTGGGGTATTGAATCCGTCTGGGATTGGACTCACCGCGGGCCAAGTACTCATTAAAACTAGCAATAAAGGGTGATTTTTCGGATTTTAAATCCGTGAGGGAACGGTGGGTGGCATAGGCCCAAGCACACCAGAAATAGATGCAGGGACCTGAGATGCACCTAAAATGCCACTAGGACCCCAAATACAATGTACTAAACAGATTTTGTATTTTTTACCAATTTTTCCGTCAAAAAAACTTGAATTGCTTCACCAGTGAAAGGCAGACAATAGACAAAGGACGGACAAAAGACAAAGGACAAAGGACAAAGGACAAAGGACAAAGGACAAAGGACAAAGGACAAAGGGCCACAGGATTTCCAAGCTCCTTTGTCTGTTCTTTGTCTATTCTTTGTGTGTATTTTGTCTGGCAAAGAACAATTGATGGACTGTGATATCGGCTTTGTTTAGCTGCCAACCACCTTCAGAACACATGAGTGAAACACATGTGAATTCTGGGTGAGTTAGCTTTTGCCCCCACTGTTTGTTTTGCATTTTTTACTTCTATTTCTAGTGAAACAACTGGTCAAAAAACTGTTCATTTTTCCACTTTGTTTTTACCTTGAAATGTGTATGAATTAATGGTATTACTAGTTTGAAGAAAAACATGAGGTTTGTTTCACATTTTTCACTTTGATTTCAACTCACAAAAGTGGTGAAAAATGTTTTAAAATTTTCACTTCTTTTTGCAGTGAAAAAATGCCAATAAATTGAATGACATTTTTATCAATTTTTTCACTCAAAAATTTGAAATGTTCAACCAGTGATGTTTCGCATTTTTCACCTAGAGTTTCAGTCAAAAAATGTGAAACAACCATCTCAACAATATGACCAACTTTGTTTCACATTTTTCACTTTGATTTCTGGTGAAAAAGCTACTGAAAAAACTTTTGATTTTTTCACCTTCATTTTCACCTTGAGTTCAGTCAAAAAATGCAAAAGAAACATCTTTGAAACATCACAAACTTTATTTCACATTTTTCACTTTGATTTCAACTCAAAAAGTGGTGAAAAATGTGTTGAATTTTTCACTTCTTTTTTCGGTGAAAAATGGCTATAAATGGAACGACATTTTTTATCAATTTTTTCACTCAAAAATGTGAAATGTTCAACCAGTGCAATGTGCTTTTATGTACCGTCGATACCCCAAAAATCAAATATGGTTGATTTGGCACCTGATTGACGTTCTTTTCAGACACCTTTCTTACATGGTGAATAAGATAGAAATCAATCAAGTCGAAAAGGCCTATGAATTCTAGTTGTGTCTGTAATCCTTTCTTACTTCATTGAATCTCACTAAATCAATCAAGATATATTAGACTACGAATACACATTCTTTCCATAGGTCTTTTAAGCGACCTTAAAAGGTTCCCATCCTGGGTGTGCCTTCCCTTTTGGGATGTTCTATTCCACGTGCTTGGTTACGATTAATAATCAGTGATTTCTAAAATACCACATCACATGATCAGGGCCTTGCCGCAATGATTCCGGGATGTTGGCCCATCAAATAGTACAGGTCTGGGCCTCACTGCCCGGGTCACTCCGCAACCATTCCTTATTTCCCTGGACATTGGGCCATCAAATAATCTGGACCTAGGCCTAACCACCCTGTTTATTCCCAGTGTCTTCCACATTTCCTTCCACTGGACATTCTCCATGGCCACAATATTAATGGTTACTGAGTGGTGCTACTCCTGATTGTTCCTGCAACATAGAGATACAAGTCTCCAGGCTTGCATGTAAACTTCAAAGATTTTCCATCTTTTACCAACACTGCACTGTCAAAGATAAGTCAGTTTGGTCTCCCAATTGAGACTCCTCTGTCATGTCTAGTGTGGCAAAGGAGTTAGTATGTCTACTCATTGTTAGCAATGCTTTTCCATGTCTGTGTTCGAACCCCCTCTGCGTTATTTCTTTTTTTGCACGGCTCAGAGACTTTGTGGATTTTTTGTCAAAAAAAAAAAAGAGAAAAAGAAATCTACGCTACATTATTGACACAAGTTTCCATCCAAGCAGCTGGGAGTAGGAAGTCAAATAGCTTGGCCAAGTGAGCAGTAAACTAGTACTGTCTATTGGGGCATAAAATCATTGTGTTGCTGTTATGGATACAGATCTTTTACTCCAGTTCACACACGACTGGCTCACTATCCTATGTTTACATTTGCATATCTGCCTTGGCCTTTTTGTCCAATGTAAGTTTGGTGTCATGAATCAAGGATGAAATACGGTGAGGTTTGCCAAGTAAATACGGACAAGTACGATTCTATTGGACGAGTTAGTGATGCTATTTGTGTGTGATTGCTTCTGTTCAATCCAAAATTATTTCCCATTCACTGCGTTCAGGCCCTCACTAGCCAGGCCATTTGTGAGACGCGGGGATCCGTGGGAATCTCTGGCTATCTATGGGCTACCCGGGTAGCAACCGGGTAGCCATGACGAAGTAGCCGGATCCCGGCTAAACGCGGCGAGCGATGTCGATCCGGCATAGCCACAGTGCAGTTCTGTCTGGCTACTGCAGGGTACTGTCTGGGTAGGCCCACATTCTGTGGGTAGGAGATGTGGCTATATTCTGTGAGGCTTGGGTACCCCAGCTAGCCGGACCGATCGGCTATCTCCGGTGAGGCGATGCTTCGGCTACTGAGAGCCTGAACGCAGTGATTTGGTCATAGTAGAGTTAGCATAAATGTTTAGTGGCATAGCCTCCCTAGACTCCCCAGCACCCTAAAAAAAAAAAAAATCAGCCCATCAGAGTGGACAAGGTGGCCAGGCTGGCCAGCAAGTTAGTGATTATCGGACCATCGGCCGAAGATCGGCCGAACATGACTTCACCCATATTATATTCATTTTAGTGTCTATTTTACCAATTTCATTTGAGAACATGTGAAGAGGTGTTGAAGGGAGGTGTCCAAGAAGATTTTAAGTAGATTTAAATGACTGTAGACAAACAAAAATGTTCTGCACCAACCCAGGGGGAAAAACAAAGTGATCATTTTGAGGGAAGTTGGGAGAAGAGGGAGGAAGGAAGCATGGGTCCAACCTTGAATCTTGAGATGTGAAATAAACTCAGTACATATATACAGTGTCATAGTTCCAGGGTCGAATCTTTTCACTGAACGTTTAGAGATCAAATTACATCAAAAGGAATGACAGCTCCGGGATTCAAACCCTGAGCCTCCACAGTTTTATAGCTGTGTGTCATCTTAACCAACTGAGCTAAAGTGCCATGAACAAAGCCATAATTATAACCAGCTATGGTACCCGGCTTTCTACATCTAGAAGCAAAGCTGAACAGGGCCACGCTCACAACATTAATCACAAGAAGGCAGGAGATAGATAAAAAGATCTCACATTGGGAGGAGTGTGGACAAAACTTTTGATAAGGTATACTACCTATCTACCTGTGGTGGCTAAAGCATTGTAAAAAAAAATGATACAGCATGCCAGACCCCCCCACCTGAAGGGTGCAAGATAGCACATCTCCATAGATGCTTTGCTGATTGGAATGCATGGCCATCTTAAGACTTATACATGTATACATGTATTGCTTAGGTCGCTGGTTCAATTCTGCTAGGAGTCATTTTTTTTCAGCCTTTTGTTTACCGCATTTACCCGAGCCGTCTCAGCCAACAGAACGTGGGAATTTTTTTCGGGCATCTCGGGCAATAAACAATGGTTTCGGGCATCTTGGGCATTAGATAATGTGATTAGATTACAGATAATGCTGATTAGATTGCAGATGTAGAAGATGGGCCGGATATGGGCAAGACATGTGATGGGAAATGATGGTGTAGCACTTTGCCGCGAGAAGGATGGGAGTATAGGGATCAAATGATGGCGGACATTGATGGCGGACATGATGGCAGACAAACGGCTGTGGGCATATGCTTGGGCGGGAAGGCCTGGAGGCCAGGGCTTGTGGACTAATTAGCGCGGGCCAAGAGCCTCGGATCATTCTCCACATGTACTTGCCCTACCTTCTATGTCTGGAAGTACATAGCTTTGGGCCAATCCCTCTATGGGAAGACCTGCACGTCTTTGACTGTGGCTGAACCACTTCACGTGTACCCCCTGGGGCCAATGTCCAGGGCCTAACCCTCGACCTCTTTATCCTGTCCTACTTTTGTTGCAGAACAAGAGGAGGAACTGGTAGTGTTTGACGTCCTCCCCGCGATCAAACAAATAGCACCGGGCCGCGAAGCGATCACGTGACACATCAACACGACGTGTCTGTATAAAACTCACGGGCCTTGTTTGCTCCCTCTTTAGCGAGGTTGGCGTCTAACCTCCACCGCCTCGACTTCTGCTAGCTCAACGGTTCACATGCAGTTGTTGCCCGCCGGATGCTTTAGTCAGACCTTGTGGTCCAGACGTCGCGAGCTAGCAGGTCCATATTTCTTTCTTCCTTTCTCTGCTGGGTCGCGCGGTTCGCATGCAGTTTTTGCCCGCCGTACACTTCTTGTCAGTCCATATGGTCCAGATGTTGTGGTGATCCAGCAGACCCCCAGTTATTTTATTTTCTATCTCTCCCCCATGCTCCGCGCTTTCAGCCCATCACCCCTCCCCAGGTTTGCCTAGTTTTTTCCTCTTTAAATGCTGTTTCATAATTTTTTATCCCCCAGACTCTCCTCCGGCCAGCCTACCTTCGCCCTGCACTCGTAGCCTCGAACGCCGGGCGTGGGCACGTTGTCGGGCCGGATGTGGCACCGCCATCAAAGTGATGCCACATCATCGCCGCTCTCTTCTTGCCTCCATCTTGTCGTCCCCGTCACCCTTCGAAGTCCCCCGACACAGACCGCCGCCTGCAACACGGATGTATGGGAGTTGCAGTTGAAGGGTTGGGGGGGTGTAATGCGGTTTGGGGCCCCACAGGTACGAGGCTTTTTTACTTTTTATGATCTCTTTTTTTTCGTTTTTTTGACACCCTTCTGTCTCAGAGGGCACGCCGAAACCCCTGCCGTCCGCGTGCAAACCGGTATGTCCTCTTTTTGCGGCGGGCTTGTTTTAACATTGATTATTTTTTTTCTCGTCGGCCCCGTCAGTCATCCAAAACGAGCCCGTGATCCCGCTGCGCCAGCCCAACGCAGAGCCACGGCTACTCAGCAGCACTACGCCGTATCCACAGAGTCCCCGCGCCCAACCCCGCGCGGGCTCATCCTCGCGCCGTTCACCACTGCCTAGGGCTCCGGGCTGTCCGTCAGACGGGGACGGCCGTCACGAAAACGGCCGTCAAAAGCGAGCTTGAACTCTCTGACGGCCGGGTCCCAGCCGTCGCACCCGTTACGGCCGTCGCCGGGTCCAATCTCCACACATCGTATATTGGGCATGTATTAAGGAGATTCTGACTGTCTCTGTGGGTTTATTAGCATCTATAACTATTCTGACATACATTCTGAGGCTTCAATTTATCCACAGGCCCTCCATTCACCTTTTCAATGAAAATGTTGAAGATCAATCCCATTCGGGCAAAGCCGAAAGAGTTGATGTGTGTCCTCGGGGGAAGAAACATGGAGGAAAGAGAAGGTTATGAACGCTGGATTACATCCTGAGGTATACCGGGTGTCTAGAGGACGCAAGTGATCACCATTTCCATCACATTTAACTGGAAATTGCACGATGTTTATGGAGGACCCGTCGACCCGTCGACGGCCGGCAACGGGTATCCCGTCGACGGGTCAATCTCAGATCCCTGACGGACGGGTCCCGTCCCGTCCGGCCGGCCCGTCAACCCGTCACCTTCGACGGACGGTCTGGAGCCCTACCACTGCCGCGCTGGGCCCGGTGCCTTTTCTTTTGGGTGAGTGTTTTTTTTTTTCAGCTTTTGTGCTGACTTCTCCCTCAGGTTGGGAATTGTTGGCGGTTGGCGGCTTCGTTTTTCCGGCGTCTTTTGAGGCCAGTTTTTTTTTTTTTTTTTTGGCCCCGCTGACTTCTCCTTCAGCGGGAGTTCATTGCTGGCAGGCGGCAAAGCCCTCCCGCCTGTCACATCCCCATATGCCCATCCCCACATGGCCACCCCCGCGTGCCAGTCCCCGTGCACAAGTCCCCGCACGGGCATCCTCGCGGTGCTACCCCCGCGCGGGAATCCCCACGCGCAAATGCCCGCTCGGGCGTCCCTGTACGCAAGTCCCCGCGTGCCCAATCCCACGCGCAAATGCCCGCTCGGGCGTCCCCATACGCAAGTCCCCGCGCGCCCAACACCGTGGGCATCTTCGCGGTGCCACCTCCGCGCGGGCCTCCCCGTACGCAAGTCCCTGCGCGGGCATCCCCGCGTGCCAGTCCCCGCGTGGGCCTCCCCGTACACAAGTCCCCGCACGCCCAGCCCCGCGGGCAAATGCCCGCGTGGGTATCCCCACCGTGCCACCCCCACGTGCCAGTCCCCACGCGGGTGTCCCCGTATGCAAGTCCCCGCGGTGAAAACCCTGTGCGCCAGTCCCCGCGCGGGCATCCCCACGCGTAAATGCCCGCGCGGTACCCCCGCGGTGCTATCGCCGCGCGCCTGAGCCCTGCGCCGAGCGCGGCATCCCCACTGCTCGCCGCCCGATGAGATGTTGAGGTAAGATTTTTTCTTGTCTTTTTATTTCCGTGCCCGCTGAGCTCCTTCACCAGGAGCGGCACGTTCGCAGCATAGCCACACGCCCAAGATCTTGCAGGTGCAAGATCTCCGGCGTCTTCCTTTGCTGACACCTACACCCTCCATCGCACGACTGCATGGTGCCCACACGCCCATCCCCGCCCGCACGCCCAACTCCGCGGCCAACCCCGCATGGCCAACCCCGCGCGCCAAAGCCCGTGCAGCCATCCCCGCGCGTCCAATGCCCCGCGGCCAACCTCACGCACCAAAGCCCGCGGGGCCAACCCCGCACGCCAAACCCCCTGCGGCCAACTTCGCACGCCAAACCCCGCGGGGCCAACCCCGTACGCCAAACCCTGCGCGGCCAACCCCACGCATCCAGCATCCATCCCCGCGTGCCCATCTCCTTAGATGTTGAGGTGAGATTTTTTTCTTCTTTTTATTTCCCTGCCCGCTGACGTCTCCTTCACCAGGAGCCGCACATTTGCGGCATAGCCTAAGCCACACGGCAGAGATCTTGCACGTGCAAGATCTCTGGCGTGTACGAGGACAAAGGGCAAGACCCGACCGCCCTGGTCTTCCTTTCCTGACGCTCGGGCCCACCACCGGACAACCGCGCGCTGCCTGCATGCCCCTTCCCTCCCCGCACACCCATCCCCGCGGTGCATCCCCCGCGCGCCCATCCCCACACGCCCATCCCCGCGCGCCGGGTTTGCGTGGGCCGTTTTGCTTGCGCGCTCGTTTGTTCCTAAGGGACCTGACAGAATTTATGTATCTTGGATAGTCTTTGTAGAATTTGTTTGTGTATTGAGACGTATTGTCCTTGTAGCCCTGGCGGAATATATTTGTTCAAATACATTACTTTTGTTGTTGTCGTTTGCTCGGGATTCTGAAAAAGGGAGTAAATCATTGCCTTTTGTCCACATGCCACCGCCTCTTGAACGGGTCTGGACACCTCAACTGCGGCCATATCCTGAAGACGCAGCCATATTCCAAGACCCTGATTTTGCTAAAGTCTTTGAGGAACACGCAGCAACTACTCGAACTCGGCGCAATGGTCAAGAATTGCGGCAAAAATTGGCTGATGTGCTATCCGAACCTCGCTGGGTAGTCTGCGACTCCTTGCCTGGCGTCTTCTTATTGAACTTTTTGGCAGGTCCAGTTCCAGAGTGACTGGCTGGACTTCACCTTGGGTGGCGAAATAGTGGGATTAATTCCAGGGGACGTGGTTGAGCGCTGTCAGCAGCTCTTCATTGATTTCATCGAGCTGTTGGTAGGCTGGTAGGTTATACATTTTTGAAGAGTTTTGAGAGATAAACTTACGTCGGCAGTACAAGGATTTTGAGAAGATTGGTAAGATACCACGGTGAAGGGTGTACAGGCGGCCTTCCACAATGCTCTCTTTGCCCAGACCATGCTAGATGTGATTGGGGGGCGCAGAGGTTCAGCACCTGTATTGATATTCAGATTTCTTCAAAATTTCGGTTCAGAAAGACAGACCAAGCTTTTGGGTCCTTCCATGAATGCGGAAAATATTGTCCACAGATGGCTGAGGTGGGCCATTGTAAGCGGCCTCAGCAATATATCCAAAAGCGTGCCAAGTTAACTGGATGAGACTTGTATCCAGTTGAAGGACAGAGGCTAGCAAATCGCAC